GCCTGGCTACCGCAACCGTAGCTGCTGCTGGCGCATAGGCTGCAGTGACAGTGTGCGCAGCGACTGGTGCCTGGTGGACAGTGTAGCTAGCAACTGTAGTTGGATGGGAATAGGCTACACCCGAAGCTGGCTGCTGGCTATATTGGAAAAAGACAGTAAGTAATTAGATTAATCCAACATACTAAGCTAGTGCCTACACATTTCAAAATCCCCAGCTTCCTTAATGCTTCTCTGTTCTACAAACAGACCTGGAGCAGCTATCTAGCCATGCATACACTTTAACAGCTTTTATTACATCTCTTCCACCCCTTCATTTTGAAGTTTTTGTAGATGCAAACATACTATGCAAGTGGTGACATGACTAACAAGGGCAGGTGTTTGTGTCATTTTCAAGCAGTGGAACACAAGACTTTCATTCAAAATAATACAGAAGTAAAACACTATCTTTTCAAGACTGACAAGTTTTTAAATGCTTTAGTAGTTCTGCAATAAAACTAATGTACCTATAAAATTAAGAATTTGAAGAAAACATCATCAGTGGCACAATGGAACTGCAGTATGGTTATCCTCAAAACCAAAACATACCGTAGTATTTCCTAAATTCTTCAGTATTCTCTTTGACATAATCAACAAAGCACTTCTTAACTATACAATTATTTTTGCAAAACACATTTCCATAACTCCCTTGCGCTTGTATTTCTATTCATTTACTTTCAGAAAAACTGATTTTGTCCTATCAATTAGAGTAGAACCTATTAACTTTAATACATTAAAAAAGAATCTCACAGCAGCAGCAGAGAAAATTTTATTGCTATTGGACTTCCATGCCTGGACTCCACCTTCTTCCCACCATAGGCCTCTGATGGCTTGAAGCACCTCTTGTACTCCATCTGAATTTAATTCAGCTGTGAGTCACAACACTCACAACTGTATTTCACTTTATTTTCAACTTCTGAGTATAACAATAGAACAAGATCTAAAACATCCGCTTAGCTGCCACCACTGCCTGAAACAATTCTTCCTACTTGACATACATAGAAGATTCTTTGTTTTGCCAGCTTAAGCCGAAACTCCACCAGTAAATTCAGGAATGCTATTTCATGACTGTGAAAGTGAACACTGGTCTGTAAAATTAGGCTGCATTATCTCTATAGCTAACAGTACAGAAGTGTAAAACATTCACAAATTCTGATGTAACGTGATAGGTTTGTGTCTGGCAGGGCTCTTTGGTTTTGGGGGGGGGCAGTGGGAGTGGCTCCTTATCAAATTTCCAGAACCTCTCCCAGCTCAGGTAAAAGTCTGAACCATCTTTGGCCAAGGCCAGGCCAATTAGCATCTCTGCCATCAAGGTACTTAAGAGTGGAAACCTGTAGTGACAGCTCTTTTTGCCTCCTTGCCCTGTCTTTTGTGTTGGGGAGCTGTATGGAGGAGGGGTATTTGGAAAAGAAGAGCAAAACACACGCTCAGTAGCAAAGAAGAGGAGAAAGCTACCAGAACAGAGCATTTCCCTGGAGCCCTGTGGTGAGTGAGATGGCAGAGATGAGACTGCCTGCCAACTGAGGGGATCGATGGCACGCAAACATCCAGGACGCAGCAGCATGTGGAAGACCCCACGCCAAGTGTGAGAGAGACCGCAGAGGAGCAGAGGATGCGCTCAAAGCAAACCACGACTCTGAGGGAAAACCCACACTAGAACAGAGGACACCACAGCTGTGGATCCCACGGTGGTGGGATGGACTCACATGGAGGGAGAGGATTGCCTGCTGCGAGATGGACACCACGTGGCAGCAGCAAAGGACTGTGAGAAGTCTGCCTCCCGAGAAGGAAGGATTGCCATTGACAATGAGTAATGGCCAGAGAGGCCATATCCCCCACCTCCTGTCCCATCTCGCGCCAATAAAAGGGAGGAGGTAGCCAGGAAGAAGGAAGGGGTAGAGGGAAATTGTATTTAAAATCAGGGTGTATTCATTTATTTATCTCACTCTCCTACTCTGATCTAATGGATAACTTGTGATAGTAAATTAAATTTTCATTTTCTTCCCAAGCCTACTCTGTTGGGTTTTTTTGCCCGTGAGCATAAGTGGTGAATGAATCCTTCCTGTCCTAATGTCAATCCTTCAGCCATTTTCTTGGTTGGATTTTCTCCCTCCTCACCCCTATAGAGATGGTGGAAGGGGTGAGCAAGCAGCTGTGTGGTTCTTTATTGTCACCATGGGCAGCCAGCTCAAACTACAACAGGTATTACCATTATCACATATATGTACTACAAACATTACACTGAGAAAACAGGCGGCAGACTGTTTAACTCAGACTGCGCTGGAACACATCAACAATCCAACACTGTCAATAAGAAAAATCTTCTTCTTCCCTCCTCCCATATACCAAAGCTGGCTATCCCATCTTATTCCATCCCTAATGCTAGTTCAGCTCCTCGTCAAGCTATTCAGTGCATTCCTTCAACTCATTACTCTAGAGGAAAATGATGAGAAGATTTTCTGCTGGGTTCGTTTTCTAACATCGCAGAAATGTTAGAAAACATTGCAGTTTACAAACAAGTCTGTGGAGTGACAGAATCCACAGAAGTTATGCAGGAAATAGGGCAAAAAAATGGGAGGAGGAAAAAGAACATGGACCTGTCCAGGAAGTATTAACTTGGCTCTTCCAAATTTCAGGAAACAGTGCTTAAGTTATTATTACAAATATGAGACAGTGCTGACAACACACTATTAAGTATCAATCAGTTTATAAAAGAAAATGCTTTTGCTCTCAGAAAACACATTATTAAAGGTACCTGACAGTATTCAGTATTTAATGTCATTTAGAGATGGTGATCATTATCACTAGGACTATTAACAAGATTCTGGTACAGCCAGTTTCACTACTTTTCTGCTATTTTTGTACCAGAACTCCTTATCATGGTATAGAATTAACAGCCACAATCATTTGATTTCTAAGGCTAATACAGTTCTATGACCATGTTTACTTTCGCAAACCTGTTCCCCTTGCTTCTGCAACACCATGCAGAGCTAGTGATCGAGTTTGCAAGACTGCGAGAAAAGCATTCTAGAACTGACTGAGTCTTCATTTTTAAAAGTCATGTTACATTATGTCACATAAATTCAGTGACATCTTTTCTAAATTTACAACATTCCCTTTTCTCCCCATGGTCTTACGGAAAACATTTTAACATTACAATGACTAGACTAGATATTTTCACATACTTAATATACATAAAATTATTTTTATGCCAACCACTTAATTTAAATTACAGGAGTTTTTATCCTTGTGTGGTGATTAGTGCCTCATTGCATTTGCTAAGATGAACTCACCTCCTCCTATATTATTTTGCCAAACTCCCTATTCCACTGATCTTTAAGTTCATTTGCATAACTATCCTAATATTATTTATTCTTCTTTCTTGACTACAGATGGCAAGAACTGTATCCATCATGAATTTTCAGCTCAGCTCCGAACAGTCTAGCTTCCTTGGAACAGCTCCTTGTAAAGTTACCTGTGTACTGGTAATATTTTCCTTCTAGCAAATATCACCACACACCTTACTAATATAAATTAGGAAAAACTCAGAACTAGTCCCTAGGAAATTCAACTACAATTATTCCTATTTAATAATCACTCTTAACTCTACTAACCACATCTACCAGCTACTTCTCTACAATTCTTTTACTATTCTCTACAGGAAGTGCAAATTTTCCACATCAAGTATTTCAGCTTAGTCCAAATAAATAAGATGCCAAAAAATTTAAGCATGCAATGAAGTTATTAGAGCAACAATGAAATACAGTATGTCAGCTGAGCTATGGTAACAAGCCGCATGTGTGTTCCTCACCACAACAAAGTGATTCAGTTTAGCTTAAACCCTCAGCACAGTCGGAAGAAATTGAACCAAATTACTCCATATGCTCTCATAGGCTAAGGACATGCAATCAGGTACTGCAGCACTACAGACAGAGAAACTAACTCACTGACCTTGTAACTTAGCCATTTATCTTTGCAGAGTGATTCTTCTCTTCCCCAAAATAAATGCAAATATACTTATTAGCACCTTTGAATTCAAGGAATTCCAGCTCTCTTCATATGAAAAGATACCTAATTTGCTTTATTAACAAAGTGGAACTTAGAAGTCACAAAATAATCTAGGTGGAAACAAAGACTTGGAGACCATCTGTTCTAATCTAGTGTCCAAAGCACAGTTAATTTCCAAGTTACATGAGATTTCTCAGGGCTTTGTCTAGTCAGGTTCTGATCATCTCCAATAATGGAGACTGCAAGGCAGCTCTAGACTGTTCCTGTGTTTGAGCACCCTCAAGGTCAAAAATTTTGTATTAGTTTGATTAAGCTTCAGTTTCAAAAGTAAATGAGGTCTAGACCAATATTTACATAAATCTAGTTTGCGATAGTTCAATTCAATGTAACTTCATACTACAGTTCTTTTAATTTACTGTTAAAATGAACATAACTCTTCATGAAGTTATGGGTGAAGGACTTCGCAGCTTCAAATTATACTCTGCTGTACTGCTACTATATTACCTTCCTTACCAGTAATTTTCATTCAAAAAGAGTATATTTTATTCATACTACACCTATTTCTTTAGCTGATCACAAGAAGAACAGTGCCTACCCACCAAGCTGACTTTAATTTCTACTTTCTGGGAACAAAACACTTTTGAATGCTCACCTTCCAGTTCAGATTTCTATTTCACTGTGTTCTCACTATCCCAACCAGAGCCAGTTTACAGCGCATGTTACACTCAATTGTTCTGTGCCAGGTTCTATAGATGCACGTTTAGTCAACTACAGAAAGTAATTTCCAGACCTTACACTTTCTACCTGCTTTAAAGCACTACATGCATACTGTTACTTCCCCACACTCTTTGTTTCCTCCTCCCAAACAAGCTTGCTTTTATTCAAAAGTTTTAAACCCCAGTGTACACCTAGCTTGTCCTCATCTTCCACATCATACCTAAGTAACTTCAAGATCAAGGGAATTAATTCTTTATTCACAATTATTGTACTACAGTGCAGGAGAAAAGTATTTTTGTATTTTTTGTAGAACACCCTTGACTCAAATTTTGTAATAACTCCTATTCTTATTTCTACTCACATTAATTATGGGAAATA